CGCGCGCGCGAATGACCTCGCTTATTGGTGCAGCCTCTGGCGTAAGTCCCTCGGGTCGAAGTTCAAATCTCGTGGCACGGGTTCTTCAAACCAGGAGTAAGCACACCAGGGTTTTCAACCCTTTGGGTGAATCGATATTTGGTGCCCACTGGACTAAATATCAATTTCACCTTTAATATATATATATTGATTAAAAGAGCAGCTCGTGGCTCCTTACGCGTCAATAATTAAAAATGTACAAAAAAGAGGAGGGATAGTTCCCCAACTACTGATAAAACAGAAAAATCAAATCCTAGGAGTTCCACTGTCCGCAATACAATACCACGCAAAAAAAACAGGAAATACACGTGAAGTCCCAAGAGTATGGGTTCCACTGTCCGCAATACAATACCACGCAAAAAAATAGGAAATACATGTGAAGTCCCAAGAGTATACCAACAAAAGAAGTATACCAAAATTTACATGTATACCAATTTCCAATACCAAAACTAAAGTAAAATTTGTTAAAATCAAAAGAGCTTAGTCCATGATATATCCAGCGGTTCCTGCCAACACTTGCAAATCGATCAATGTATGCATCAGTAATAATCAACAACCTTATTCCATGGTATAACCATAAGTAGGCAGTACGGGCATCAAGCATATGCAATCCACATCTCCAGAAATCTGTATGAAAACTTCCAAAGAAGCCCAGAGCCCCAAAAACCGTGAGGATGAGAGATAAAGGACTATTGTAATCAATAAGAAAAACATGAACCCCAATGCAGCAAGTGAAAGGAGGTACAAAAGTAATAGAAACCGCAATGCTAATAGCAAACTGGCCCCTGAAGCTGTCCCTGTGGGATAAAATCAAAGCTAAGGCAATATTCAACAATATGCCAATCCAAAACATTCTACCAACGAGCTCGCAAATAAACAGGCCAAAATTAAAATCTGTGTAGCAATGAAATCCAACATCAAACCATAAATGCCAGTCCAAAATAAACTCCATACCACTCAAACTTCGAATCAAGCGTTGCCCATGCCAAGGAATACGACCACTGTCAAACCAAATATCAATGCAAATGTAACTCCTATAAAAATTGAAGTGATAGTAAGCATTTGAGTGTAAAAGAATTTCATGAGAAACCACTTCAGCAACAAAATCCTTCCAAACATTTATCATGAAACATTCATACCAACTGTGCATTGAAAAAAGAAACCTCAGAATAACCCTTTTCACACCCATGTGACTCCACCAAAAATACACCGTAAGCTTAACAAAATAAGCCCAAATAATTGTATCATAAGCCGTGAGCCACAATAAACAAGTAAATATTATAAGTAATTTGTTGTGCAAAGAGCCACCAGAACAAGTAATGGCAATCAGTGTTCATAATCTGAAAACCCCAATAAGTGCCGCAAGGGTAGAAGCCAGCTTTACGATTAAAGCAGATCACAATATTGCTTATCAGTAAGAAAAATGCTTCAAATTCCAAATTCAATACCCAGCCAGTGGAACATAGTCCCATTAGACAATATATATATTAGCCCTGTCCGTGGGGCCAAAAAATGCAACCCACATATAGGAAATTATTGATGCAGCAATCACCAATCTTACCAAGCTCCAATATGTTACCAATAAGCTCATACTTTAATAGAGCCAAAAGTATGACTAATAGCCCCCACCCAACATATAAAGGCAGTAAAATTCTTCCTTATAGGAACAAAACTGAGAGACCAAAGCCCAGAGGAAAGATAATAAATACAAAAAGATAATCACTTCTGAAAGCACAGAGTTTTTCCCATAAAAGTCCAGAGCCTGGCTCCCATATCCTTAATCTTAAGAAAAAGTAGAATACCTTCCAACTTTAAAACCCAAAGAAGAAGGCCTAATAAAATGTTGAGAACCATCTTCAAATAAATCAGAAATAGAGTAACCCAAAAAACGAAAGCCAGACCCAGAAAAATCACAAATGTGTCCAAAAATAGGACCAGCTTCTCAAAATCGAACAAACAGGGCATCCAAATCATTTTTAATAAGTTTATGCAAGAAAGAGGGAGGGGTATTACCAGCAATAGCATTTTGCAATCTCCATTTGGCCAACCAATCCGCAGATTGATTCCCTTCTCTATAAGTAAAAATAAAGCAAATAAAGCAAATATTTAAGTGATATCTTTCAATAGTTAATCTGATTTTGTTCAGCAAGCCAATGATACACCACGGGGGTTTAATCTTAGTCAAAATAATATTAAACAAGAGTTTCGAATCAGTTTCCACCACAATACCCATTAAATTTAAAGATGTAACCATATGAAGAGCAGCAAACACCGCAGCAGTTTTAGCCTCCAGTGCAGAGTTAGCAATACAAGGCGATGCAAAATAAGCTATACATTTTCCATATGCATCTCTGATAATCCCTCCCATACCCGTATAGGCATTAGAAAAGCTCCCATCAACATTAAACTTATACCAACCATGGGGGGTGGTGCCCATTTGATCAAAATGGGTTTCCTACTCTTATCCCCAGTAGTTGGATTAGCATCATGTCCAAAGGAGGAATTCCATGCTTTTTTTAAATATGCAACCGCAAAGATGGTAGTGATAGAGGGGTTGTGACCAGTATCTTCATATTTATGACTGTTTCTTGTCATCCAAATAAACCATAAAACAATAACAGGGAAACAAAAATGTTTGTCAAAAGAGGGATCAAAACCCTTCCAAGTCTCAATAGCAGATTTAAAATTTAGATTATTAGGCCAATGGATCCCAAAAAAACACCCAATACGATGTCAAACCTCTTTAGCGAAAGGGCACTCAAAGAATAGATGATTCAAAAATTCAACATCTTTTTGGCAGTTGTAACAATATGAAGCAAGTTTCAGCCCTTTTAACTTCATAATATCATCAAGAGGAAGTAACTTAAGAGGAAGTAACTTGTGAAAGTATCATATAGAATGAGAAATAAGTTTATGCCAAATATAAATATGTCATTTCCATGGATTGAAAACATGTCATTTCCATGGGTTAAAAGAGTAAAGATTTGAATAAAGTTATTTAGTAACAGAAGTGCTAGTATGATTCTTCCATAAAGGAAGAGCTTTATCTTGTGATTTAACAAAAAATGAGCTATGGCAGGAGCAATTTCACCAATTAAAGAATTCAACATATCAAGATTACATTCACCATTAATCCAGCAATCAGAGACCAGTAGATTAACATCATAATCATAAGTGTGTAAATTAGAAAATGTAGAGAGACCCCAATCATCCTTCCAAAAGAAAATATTACCATCCCCAATTTCCCAAAACATGAAATGAGAAGCAACCACACGAGCAACAATAATGGCTTTCCAAAGTCTAGAGTCTCCCACTCTCCAATTAACAATGGAAGGATGTGAAGTTTTGCAGTATTTATGTTTCATATATTTAGCCCACAGAGACTCTCCCTTTGAACTAGAGTTTACACATTAATATCCATAGTGTGCTGCAACATTTTGAAACCAAGCCCTCCAGCAGAAAGAGGTTTACAAGCATAGTGCTACGTAGCCCAACTTTTAGTAGTTCTAGTGCCCTTCCAAAGGAATTTATTAAACATATTTTCAAGAATCCTTTGAGTACTCTTTTTGGTTTTAAAAACCTGCATCATGTAGAGAGGCAGAGTGCAAAGAACACTTTTCAATAAAGTAAGCCTACCCCCATTAGAAAGGAAGATGTTTTTCCAATCATTAATCCTGAGTTTAATTTTATCAATAACCTCATCCATCTAAGTTTGCTTAATTCTACCTCTGAGAATGTTGACCCCAAGATACTTTATAAGAAGTTTAAAGATTTTGCATCCAGTATAATTAGAAGCCCAAACAACAGCATTGGGAGGAACACCTTTACCAAAATTTATAGAGCACTTAGCCAAATTAAACATCATCCCAGAAGCATTTTGAAAGTCTTTTAACATAGTCATAGTAGCTTTGATAGCTTGTTTACTAGCATTTAAAAACAATATGACATCATCTGCATAAGCAAGATAGCTCACAATAATTTTAGACTTGTGGGAGAATTGAAGATAAGGTCGCTCATCATGCATCTTGTTGATAAAACGGGATAGATAATCAAATGCAATTATGAAAATTATGGGAGAGAGAGGATCTCCTTGCTTGATACCCCTTCCAGCAGAAAAAAATCACGGGTTTCACCATTGACCATCACACTATAGCTATTATTGGACAGCCATTTAAGTATGAGGGAGCAGAAATCCTGTTTAAAACCTTTGGCTTGCAGAATATTTAAAATGAATAATGTCTCAACTAATAGTATCGAAAACTTTCTTGATGTCAAGTTTGAGGACCATGTTGTCCCCTCTGCACTTTTTATTCAGTTCTTCAATCATTTCTTGAACTAAAAGAATATTGTCAGTAATATCTCTGCCATTTATGAAAGCAGACTGCTGCTCAGCAATGATGTGATTGAGATGAGGCTGCAATCTGCTAACAATAATCTTGCTTATAACTTCAGATATCACCATGGTAAGAGAGAGAGAGGCCGAAAATTATCCCAAGTGATCTTGTCATTACCTTTAGGAATAAGAACAATAAGAGCCGAGGTGAAATATTTTCCAGGATTGCTGCCAAGGAAAAAACTTTGGATAGCAAAAATAATTTCCTTCTTAATAACCTCCTAAGCATGCATATAGAAAGCCGAAGAAAAGCTATCAGGGCCCGGGGCTTTATTGGGGCATATAGATTTGAAAGCATTCAAGATTTCATGTTCATCAGAAGGATAAACCAAACTAAGATTATTAGCATAATCATAGTCATTCTTAAAATAAGTGGGATCAACAGGTGCAGTATGGGTAGAAGTGTGAAAGAGTTCAATGCAGTAGCTAACAGCACTATCACCAATCTCTTTCAAATCAGTTAAAATGCTCTCATCAGTTTTTTTAATTTTTAAGATATTATTGATGTTTCTTCTATGCTTAAGGGTAGCATGAAAATATTTAGTATTTCTATCCCCAACAACAAAAGAAGAGTCATTAGCTTTCTGCTTTAGCAAGTTTTCCTCTAAAGCAATAGCATCCAAAAGATCTAAATGAGCTTGAGCAGCATTATCCATCGAATGAGGAGAAGCATCTACTTGAGCTTCCAAAGAATCCACTATATTTTGAGCGTCCTTAACTTTTTTATGAACATTACCAAAGACTTGATAATTCCATTTAATAAGGTGTGCATCCACTTTCTTATGCAATTGCCACAATACAAACCAATGAGTCCCAGCACCATCATAATTCCAAGCTTGCTTCACCAAATCAAGAAAAGTAGCATGTGAAGTCCGGACATTAAGAAATTTAAACCTAGAAATGGTTGGCTTGACAGTGAAAGTCAAAGTGAGCATAATAGGATTATGATCAGAAGTGACATGACTCAAATGTTGCACCTTCACAATTGAAAAATAGCTTATGAAAGCCGAATTAGCCAAGAAACGATCCAGTTTTTTATAAAGAAAACCCCTACTCCAAGTGTAAGGAGAACCAACATTGCCCAAATCATAAAGACCTGCATTTGACAAAGAGTTAGAAAAACGATTTATAAGAGCTAGCTCCACTCTGCCCCCTCCTTTTCTTTCCATCGGTTTCATTATCATATTGAAATCTCCTGATAATACTTCCCATAGTCTCTAATTTCTGCCAAAGCAAATTTTTTTCATGCATAATAGAGCTAGAGTAAACAAAGGTGCCCCACCCTTGAAAAGCATCAAAACAAATTTGAGTTAGAATGTATTGATCCTCATCCTCAATAACAGAAAAATTAATAATGAGCCTCCAAAAAACTCAAATTTTGTTGTTAACGTTGCAATAAGAGCGATAGCCTTTGAATTTGTTAAGGATCTTGTGCTTATTCACATGAACAAAAGGCTCCAAAATAGCAAAAATGAGTAAATTGTGAACTGTGCACAAGTTTTTAAGCCGACTGAGGGAGTTAGGGTCCACCATAATGCTAATCATGATGTCGTGAGCCAACCCTTCTAGAAGATCTAGTAGAGTTAACAAACTGTTCTCCATTTGAGTGATAAACGCCTTCCTGTATAATGTTACTAGCAT